TCTCTAGTCTAAGAACAATAATATATATATATATATATATATACACACATCGTAAAGTCTTGCGTATAATGTGCACTTTTAACACAAACAAGTAATATAAAAAAAATTAAGTCAATTTCTACTTAGATCAACAAAGAAAAATTTATTTTAGCCACTTTTTATTATATAGTTACCATTAATATACATATGTATGTACATATGACAGAATCACAACATTAAGTGGTAATTGATTTTTATTAATTATCATTAAAGTATCGTATTGTTATCCAAAACAATCGTGCATAAAAGTTTTAGTTCAACTGAATGCTTTAAAACAGGAGAAAAAAAAACTTTTAAAGTTTTGACACAAGTTGCCAAAAGGGTCGCTATGTCGCCAAAAATGATGCCAACGTGGCTGAATTTGTAATTATTTGAATAATTAGTTTTAATCAATTAATTTTTATTAATTATAATTAAATTATTGTATTGTCATCCAAAATAATCATGTATATAAAATTTCAGCTCAATTAAACGCTTTAAAATGTATTTTATTAACGATTGAAAATTCCACTAAGATAAATAAATAAATAAATATATAGAGATTGTGAGCGAATAGTAGGAATTGAAAAATAAGATCGAATTTAACGGATGCGCGTTATTCGTTGGGTATAAAAATAATAGCTTTAAAAAAATGAGCATAAAAAAAAAAATTAGGCTTCTGCATAAGTCGGAATACTATTTAACTAAAAGAAATGACATTCTTTATGAATTTAAAGGGCTATAGGTCTGGAAATATTTATTTTTCAAAATATTAGGATAATGCATCGAATAAATGATTTCAAAATGTAAGAGCACTACACACTTACATTTTAGGATTTTTTCTTAATAAAAGGGGGGAAGGTGCATTATACGGCTAATGAACCTTAAAATTAAAAAAATAATTGTGTGTGTGTACTTATGTACGCACGTAAGAAGTTATACTTCTTTGGTGTAACAAGATTAAAATCTTTCTAAAAATCTTTAGCAGGGCAAGCTGGGCCAAAGACGAAATGCGGTCACGAGCAGAGTTAAAAGATAGTAACCTTCAGTCAATCGGACCAGCCAAACCCGAGATAATCACGATTTAAATAAATTTAAACACCCCCGCACGGGGACAACAGGACCAATAACATAGGGGGTATAAGACTGTATCTGGGGATGAAGTGAACCGAATGTGACATCTGCTACCACATATTGAATGTCTCGGCGGGACAAATCGTTCCTCAGAAAATTAAGACATCCACCTGAGGAGCTCCCGAGTTATGGTCATTTTAAAATAATTAAAACATTTAAAACAATTAGTAAATAATATCGAAGAAGGGCACCCAGCAACTCGAACCTGGGACTGGTTGTGAGCAAACAAAAGAGTAATCCATTAGAATCGGTCCGGAGTCTGTAGTTGCAAATGGGGTGGTGCTAGCTCGGGAAAGGAAAGCGCAATTAACTCCCCCCGGCGGGGAACAACTGTGACGTAAATGGTCACGTACATCCCAATAATACACGGAATAGTAGGTGATTCCAAAGTTTCATCCTTCTATCTCTGTAATATCGTGACGTCATCGAAGATCGAACCTCATAGAAATAACATGGGGATTCTAATTTTAGTGATAACGCCCACCCCCTAAGCCACTTTCTGCACATGAATTATAACAGATGAAACAGCTCAACGAGGAAAACCTATGATCCAAGTTTTATTAATGAATGTCAAAAATCCTCGGAGATATGCGGGATTTTAAAAAAATTATAACTTTAAAATAGTTTTAAGATGTTAAATATGGGTAAAGAAATAGGACTATGGTCCTGAAAAAATGTATCTAGGATGCTCATAGGAAGAAAAATCGAATTCAGCCAGTGCGGTCGACTAAGATGGCATAGAATTCGAGTTATTTCTGGGGAAGCCATGTAAGGGGAAGGGGCCAATTCCACGTGTTCAATACTCAAATTCACAACTCATTCACAAATTGTAAACTAAGTGCGAAATTAATGATGTGGCTACGAGTGTTTCTCAATTTAAATAAAACATTTATTAAGTATTTACAATGATGCATAAAAAAGCTTAAATATTATCGCGCACGCTCATAGCCGTGTGTTTCCTCCAAAAGCATCTAGAGGAATTCACTCTCCTTCTCTCTTCCGAGCGCTTTACCTCCCCCTGTTGCCACCAGAGTAAAGAGAAATTAGGCTCACACCCCTCCTCGGGTAAATCACTCCTTCGCTCTTTGGGTGCTTTCGCAACACCACGTAAAGCTCGCACTAATACGAAAATATGGCGGACCTCCAAAAATCAAGTCCCAAGTTCAATTCCTTAGGGGGTGAAATTTTTTCCAGTCCCTATAGGGTTAACATGGGAGCATGATATTTTAGTGCTTAAGGCCTTCCCATATCTACACAATGAGAATGAAGCAGATGACTAGTTGGGTCTCGACGAGTGGAACACTTGGTTCAAATCTCAAGTCCAAAACTCGAACAGGAGCCAAGATATTGTGAATTTAAACAAATTTAAAAAGTTTAAAACAATTAAAAACTAAAGAAGAAATAGCCCTATGAGCATGAAACTATAATAACTGGAAGAGCATATAGAGGGATTGAATGAGCCAGGTCCTAATGGAATGTGAGGCTCGGATGCCGAGATATTGGCCAAAACGCTGTAGAGAGGGGGAGGCGTCCCAACTATATGGTTTATAACAATACTTATGATCCCCAAATATCAGTCACATAGCAACAAAAAAGTGGCATGTTAAAATATTAGACAACGGTGTGTGCGCGCGCATCAGTGTACTGAAGGTATGCGCGCGCGTCGTAAAAATTTACCTTCATACTTTTTCCCTAACGCCCAAAAAGAAGGATAACTTTAAAAATAAATATACGAATATAAAAGGCTCTTATAATTTGCTACAATTTAACAAATGTGTTTATATTCATCGCAATGCGTTCGTAGTAAATACATCAATAATACATGCAATTAGGTATTAAATAGGTAAACTAATATTTACTCTTATGTTTTATGTATATGAAACACATTTTAAAGCATAATTAACTATTCTTTTAATTTCCTTTAAGTATGTTTGGCTTAATAACAAAAAGTGTTCAAACAAATGCATCAGAAAAGCTCCGTAAGCGAGGGACGATCTCTCCCTACTAGTAGGGTCGTCACAAATCAGTGCAAAGCAAAGGTTCGCAGACACGGGAGGTATAGCTCAGTGGTGCAGGTAATGTGTGGTTTGACTCTGAAGGGAAGCACACATTAGTTGTATTTTTAAGTTTATTAAGATATTTCTGCATCTCTGGAAACACACGATTCCATAAAGAAAAATACATACATATACTAAACCGCCTCTGACGTCATGACCAATGAAAAACGAACACGATTTGCAATGACGTCAGATACGGTTAGCAGTTAACACAGATAAATCTGCATGATGAAAGGAACAAAGTCCAACAAGTGGTACAACATTCGACTGCTAATCGAGAAGTCCACGGTTCAAACCAAGGTACCCCCTTCTTCAGGGAACTGAAGAGAAATATTTTTTTGAGAATTTCAAAGGCAGGATTGATCTGTCTGGTTCTGTATATTTCTAGACAAAGCATTTTCGTATCCGTTCCTACAGAAAGCAAAGGTTCGCAGACACGGGAGATATAGCTCAGTGGTAGAGCATTCGACTGCAGATCGAGAGGTCTCTGGTTCAAACCCGGGTGTCCTCTTCTTCCAGGAAGTGAAGCGAAATATTTTGTTTGAGAATTTCGAAGGCGGGAACAATCTGTCCGGTTTTGTATATTCCTAGACAAAGCATTTTTGTATCCGTTCCTAAGGAATGCAAAGCAAAGGTTCCCCGGTTCAAACCCGGGTGCCCCCGTCTTCAGAGAAGTGAAGAGAAATATATTTTGGAAAAATACGAAGGCGGAAATGATTTGTCCCGTTCTGTATGTTTCTAGACAAAGCATTTTCGTATCCATTTCTACGGAAAGCAAAGTTTCGCTGACGCGGAAGTATAGCGCAGTGGTAGAGCATTCGACTACCGATCGAGAGGTCCTCGTTTCAAACCCGGGAGCCCCTTCTTTAGGGAAGTGAAGAGAAATAATTTTTTGAGAAATTTGAAGGCAGAAATTATCTGTCCCGTTCTGTATATTTCTAGACTAGGGGTGTCCAACCCAAATGACCTTGCGGGCCACTTCGGAAAAACATTATAGTCTTGCGGGCCGCACATAAAAATATGTACCTTTATATCAGATTTGGATACAAAAAAACATTTCTTGGAGTGAAAATTTAGAGCAGAATGAATTATTATTATTGTTTTTAATGTATACATACATAGATATAATAATGTTTGTTTAACACACAATAATGCAATGATCCAGTAATGTTTAAAATATTACAGTTGCCATTTTCTTGAAAATTATGGTGTTCCTTTTGAATTGATCTTTCGTTACTCATTGTTGAAATTTGATTGTGCTGTCATTCGCAAACGATTAAGTATACGTTGCCCTTTACCTTAACCATCCTGAATATTTTTTTTAAACCTTATAAAACATATCTGAGTGCCTCTTGCTTTTTGGGCACTCGAAACAGAAAGGGAATGAAAGGCGCATACACAAAGAATCATGTACCATCCATATTAAAGAGGATACGCATAATGCAATTCGGAATTTATTAAAAAAGTAATTTATTATAGTAAAATCAAATATAATTGTTTAATAACTGTTTAGTAAAATTTAAATCTATTTCAATTTAAAGGACATTTTTATTATCAAAAAGAATTTATTTTAAAACAAGAACAGGTTTTGTTATATATATATATATAAATTTCCCCTTAAATAAATTTCAAAATGAAAAAAACTTTAAAAACCTAATTTTTAAATTTTTTTAAAAATAGTCGGCGGGCCTCATCTTACGTACTGACGGGCCGCGTGTTGGACACACCTGTTCTAGACAAAGCACTTTCGTATTCGTTCCTAAGGAACGCAAAGAAATGGCTCGCTGAGGCGAGGGTATAGCTCAGTGGTAGAGCATTCGAATGAAAATCGATAGGTCCTCGGTTCAAACCCGTGTGTCCTCTTCTTCAGGGAAGTGAAGATAAATTTTTTTTGAGAATTTCGAAGGCGGGAATGATCTGTCCCGTTCTGTATATTTCTTGACAAAGCATTTTCGTATCCGTTCCTACGGAACGCAAAGCAAAGCTTCCCTAACACGTGGTATGTAGCTCAGTGGTAAAGTATTTGACTGCAATTTGAGAGGTCTCCGGTTCAAATCCGGGTTTCAACTTCTTCAGGGAAGTGAAGTGAAATATTTTCCTGAGTATTTTGAAGAGGGCAATGATCTGTCCCTCGTTCTGTATATTTATAGACAAAGCAATTTTGCGTCCGTGACGGTGTGCGCAAGCATCGTAAAAATTCACCCTCATCCAATTTCTCTAACGCCCCAAAAGAAGTATAACTTCAAAAAAAAAGTGCCTTTTTTTTTTAAGAAAGAATAGATATATAGAGAGAAGAAATATATAGAATATATAGGTCGGGCGTATAGGCCTGCTATACGCCGGATTTTACGGTAGATTTATATATATATATATAAATAACAGATGAAACTGGTAATTACCTTGTAATTAAGCAATATTAATTCATTCGACCTCGCTATTTTATTTGTTAATCTTTTTGAAGTGATCACTTCTTTAGGGACGTCTTAGTAGAGAGTGAACTTGAATGAACGTTATATACACTAGGATTTGTAACGCTCATTCGGCATTTTTCGTCTTTAGTCGGAAATCGTGCTCAAGGTCATCCACGACCATCACACCCTCAAAAAGACATGTGACCGAAGGAAGGACGTCCCCTACGCCACTTCGAAGCGAAATGAAACGTGGTATTCTGTCCCCCCACCCCCCATCAATACGATGTAAGAGTGAAGTTCCTATAATCTTATATCTTATATATAGCTTCAATTTAATGGGGTTCCCTCCCCCCGTCACCTCTTTCTACGATGAAGAATAGCGGGATTCTTTCTAATCCTAGTAGAAGCATGAAAATGAAATATGTAATATTTTTAAAAATTAGGCTTAGAGACAGAGAGAGAGAGAAATCCTACACTATATATATATAAAATTAAACTTAAAATGTAGAAAAAGGACAAATTGTTGTAGAACTAAGTAAATCAGTGCTTCTCAAACTTTCTATACTGGCGACCCAATTTTCAATCATAATTTTTATCGCCCCCCGATACAACAATAATGTATTTACTGCAATAAAAATGCACTTTGACGCTAAGGCTACAATGCGATCTTAATTACACACAAACGGTGTAAGTATTAAATGCTGTATATGTTACTTTTAAGTAATATATATTTTCAGAAAATTACTTATAAAATATTTATTATTTACTTATTATTATGTCATTTTTTCTTTTTCTAATTTTTAAATTGGAACAGATCGCAAAATGATATACCGGGTGTCCATAATTAAACGACCCTACTTCAAAATTGTGTACAGACGAAACTATTGTTCAGAAAGTTGTAGAATTCTGTGTACGGCATAAAGAAGAGATGAGAATTTGTTTGGGCGAATAAAAAATTTAGTACAAAATTTCACCACTAGAGGGCGTTTTTAATAGAGATCATATTTAGCATACATTTATAACAGTTTACAAATTTTGTTACAACAATAAATGCTCAACATGATGACCATCTTTTTCAGCTACTATTTGAAATCGTAAGATAGCATGTTTCACCGCTGACCGCAGTGTGTTCTGGGAAATGTTAAGAACATGTCGTGAAATACTGTCTTTGAGATCAAGTAAAGTTCTTAGTTGTTCTCAACTTACCAGCTGTTTTAAATGGCCTCAAAGCCAAAAATCGCATGGGTTGAGGTCAGGCGATCGGGGAGGCCACAGATGACGAAATTTGCGGCTGATCACACTTTCTTCTGTGAAGTGATGTTTGAGAATGTCCTTAACACAACGTGTAATGTGTGGAGGAGCTCCATCTTGCATAAAAATTATGCGTGAAAGGCACTGACGTGCTTGCAGATCCGGAATAATTTTATTCCGTAATAACGATGTATATCTCTGTCCAGTGATAGAGCATGTTACTTGACCTCCAGCACCTAATTCCTCTAAAAAAAATACGGGCCAAGAATAAAAGACGCGGAAAACCCACACCACACCGTTACTTTTGGTGAGTGTAGCGGAACTTATAAGGTGGAATGCGGATTGTCTGTTTCCCAAATTCGGCAGTTGTGAGTACTCACCGAACCGTCCAAATAAAAGTGTGCTTCGTCTGTCCAGAGAATATTCCAAGGCCATTCTGGATCAACTTCCAAACGAGCAAGAAACAGCAGTGAGAACAGATGTCGAGTCTCGAAATCATGTGGAAGCAATTCCTGCACAAGTTGAAGCTTGTGTGGATAGTAACGGAGGATGATTCACATGATCTTCTGGAGAGTTGAACGAGGCAGATCCAATGCTTCTGCCACACGGTGAACACTTGTACTAGCCTGCACATTGAATGCTTTGTCGTCTTCCACCTGAAGTGCAACTTTCTCTATTGCTTCCGCAGAAACAGGTTTTCTTCCTCTTCCAGAACGAACAGTCAACGACCCTGTTTCTTCAAATTTGGTTATCATTAATGGAAGATTTTTGGCAGTCAATGGACCTTTTCGCATCCCCTTTTAAGTCCGAAATTTCCGTAGAGAAACTATTGTGGAATTATCGTTTTGATAGAATAACTTTACTAACAACGCTCGATCTGGTAAATGTAATGACATTCTGATTAGCAATACCAAGCACACTGAAAATAAGCTAATCTCCCGTGAAAGTTGATTGCTTTTATAACAGTTGCTGTGTGACGTCGAAAAATGTGCATATTTCGTCTTCCTTCGTGTAAATCCTTTGAAAATTAGTCATTGAAGAAGTTTAATTAAAGTTTGCAGTTCATTTTAGAAATTGCGTTTTTTAATGAGTATCAGTTATTATGTTACCGTGTCCTGTGGATAAAAAAGCGATAAAATACAAATAGAAAACCGATAATAAATGTGGCTTTCATTCAAAGGCACCCTCTAGTGGCGAAATTTTGAACTATTTTTTTATTTTATTCGCTCAAACAAATTTCCATTCCTTCTTTATGTCGTACACAGAATTTTACAACTTTCTGAACCATAGTTTTCTCTGTAGAAAATTTTGAAGTAGGGTCGTTTAATTATGGCCACCCGGTACTTAAAGATTTATATCCTTCAGCATCCATTTCTAAAAGTACAAATGTCATTAGAAAAATAGTCTAGTTTTTGTTGCTCTCTATCATATCCACCGCATCTGGCATTATCGGGAACGTTTGCCTGAGTCTGGGCAACTTATTGGAGTCCGAAACTTTAAAATATTTTACTCTACAATTCCAGTCAGTTTGGGTCGACTGATACCTATAGCTACCAAATCTGCTTGAAAGACATTTTTTTTACGTTAATTGAAACCTGGTAATTAAGTTTTATGGCAGAAATTTAAAACAAATCATACATATTTTTTTAAGTCGTAAGCGAACTTTCGATGTTTAAAAAAGGATCAACAAATACCCAAAAAGCATGGTTCCGAAAATTAAAGCCAGGAATATTCCCCAAAAATACTTAAATTCTAGATTTACCTCTACTGAAGTAAATAATGAAAAAGAAAGCCACTGCTCGTAATGTGTTAAAACTTACAAATCTGAAGAACAGCATGTGAAAGTTGTTTTAAAACCAAAAAAATCATTTACCCTGTTGGCAAAAAAATTTTAAAAAAATATTTTCTTGATGAGGACAACTTGGTAGCGTTACGAGTGGATTAGGAATCCATTTCAAAATACTCCAGAAGGGTTCTCAACTTCCAAACTAACAATTTCTGATATTAAGCCTTCATTTAAAAAACTTTGCTCTACAAGACAAGCCCATGGAAGTGACTAAAAATTATTAAACTTGTTCTTAATTTAGTATTAAGAAATTAATTATGAAATACCTTCTTCAGTACTGATACATTAAACGTATACTGACTGAAGTACCGGCTCTTCGCATGAGTTCATTTTTTTAAAAAAGAAAATATTCTTAATATAACAGCTGAACTGTAAGAAGAGTAAAACCGCGTGCACGACATTGTACACGAAAATGTAAAATGATTATTTTTTAGATGAATGCTTATATTGTAAATAGTTTTAAAAGAACTGTAATTTTAAACCTCACAGAAAAAGCATTTGGAATTAATGTTAAATAATGAAAAAGAATAATTGTGTTACTTTTTTAATATTTAAGGCGAGAAGACTTCAAAATGTTTTAACCCGGAAGCAGGCACTTACTCGATGTTAACGTTAATGGTAGTGCGTGGTGACTCACCCCCCCACCCTCAATCATTTGTTTATAATTATTTTTACTGTACACGATAAAAATCGTAGTTTCAGTGAATAATTTAATTAAGAGAAAGTATACTTACCAGCTTTCAAAGACTTTTCAATTTTTCTTTGATAATTTGAGAAAAAATCCAATAAAACTGAACTAAAATGATTCAATAGTGCAAGACCTTAATAAAGGATGCAAATCAGAGACACTTTTCACTAATATTACAGGAATGTTATTTGCTGGCAAAGCTGTCATTTTTTTTCAATTATTTTAGTTTTAATGAGCTTTCATGATCGAGTGAGTGAATATTAACATCGCCCACTGTTCAGCTACACAAGGGCTTTTGGAGACGGACCTCGTAAATTTGAACCATGGTCAAGTGACGAAGATGACACTTGAGCTGGCCTGTTTTAACTACCACACCACTCGACAGACTCGACCACTCTTGAGTTCTCGACAGATTTAGCGTTCATCTCTACCCTACACTGTGGGTCCTTAGTGGTACTGGGTTCAATCTCGTGTAGTTGAGCGTTTTCTTTCTTGTGTGTTTTTGTCAAGGCAAACTGAACCTTGTGGTACACTTATGGCTTCATATTTTAGTTGATGGAGTTCTTTATGAAGCATTTGAAAATTTTCCTTTCGTTTCATGTTTATCGCGGTACTCAATCAATAATATGCATTCTTTCAGCAGATTCTTCCTTTGCTTGATCAGTTT